GGGGACCCCATTGGAAATAAGCCTATGGAGGCTTTAATGGTTATCGCAGGCAAAGGCTAAATTTGAATGTTTTAACTGGATTCTAATCAAACTCTTATGTGATACAATTGTTTTCTTTTTTATATGTTGTACTTATGTATGTGATATATTACCTTTACCTGAATAAAAAAACCTGGTTAAAATAATAAAGTAGACATACCAACAATCCATCCCCACCAGTGACCCTCCCCTTAAATCTATCCCCATGGCGACCCTACCATAGTCACTGTTACCACTGCCACCCCAACAGTGACCCTCCCATTAAATCTATCCCCATCGTGACCCTACCATAGTCACTGTTACCATTGCCACCCCAACAGTGACCCTCCCATTAAATCTATCCCCATGGCGACCCTACCATAGTCACCGTTACCACTGCCACCCCAACAGTGACCCTCCCATTAAATCTATCCCCATGGTAACCCTACCATAGTCACTGTTACCATTGCCACCAAACCAGTGACCCTCCCATTAAATCTATCCCCATGGCGACCCTACCATAGTCACCGTTACCATTGCCACCCCAACAGTGACCCTCCCATTAAATCTATCCCCATGGTAACCCTACCATAGTCACTGTTACCATTGCCACCAAACCAGTGACCCTCCCATTAAATCTATCCCCATGGCGACCCTACCATAGTCACNCCCATGGCGACCCTACCATAGTCACTGTTACCATTGCCACCCTAACAGTGACCCTCCCATTAAATCTATCCCCATGGTGACCCTACTATAGTCACTGTTACCATTGCCACCCCAACAGTGACCCTCCCATTAAATCTATCCCCATGGTGACCCTACCATAGTCACTGTTACCATTGCCACCCTAACAGTGACCCTCCCATTAAATCTATCCCCATGGCGACCCTACCATAGTCACTGTTACCATTGTCACCCTAACAGTGACCCTCCCATTATATCTATCCCCATGGTGACCCTACCATAGTCAATCTTACCATTGCCTATCCACCAGTGACCCTCCCATTAAATCTATTCCCATGGTGACCCTACCATAGTCACTGTTACCATTGCCACCCTAACAGTGACCCTCCCATTAAATCTATCCCCATGGTAACCCTACCATAGTCATTGTTACCATTGCCACCAAACCAGTGACCTTCCCATTAAATCTATCCCCATGGTAACCCTACCATAGTCATTGTTACCATTGCCACCAAACCAGTGACCCTCCCATTAAATCTATCCCCATGGTGACCCTACCATAGTCACTGTTACCATTGCCACCCTAACAGTGACCCTCCCATTAAATCTATCCCCATGGGAACCCTACCATAGTCACTGTTACCATTGCCACCAAACCAGTGACCCTCCCATTAAATCTATCCCCATGGTAACCCTACCATAGTCAATCTTACCATTGCCTATCCAACAGTGACTCTTCCATTAAATCTATCCCCATGGCGACCCTACCATAGTCACTGTTACCATTGCCACCCTAACAGTGACCCTCTCATTAAATCTATCCCCATGGCGACCCTACCATAGTCACTGTTACCATTGCAACCCCACCAGTGACCCTCCCATTAAATCCTTCCCCATGGCGACCCTACCATAGTCATTGTTACCATTGCCACCCTAACAGTGACCCTCTCATTAAATCTATCCCCATGGCGACCCTACCATAGTCACTGTTACCATTGCCTATCTACCAGTGACCCTCCCATTAAATCCTCCCCCATGGCGACCCTACCATAGTCACTGTTACCATTGCCTATCCACCAGTGACCCTCCCATTAAATCTATCCACATGGTGACCCTACCATAGTCACTGTTACCATTGCCACCCTAACAGTGACCATCCCATTAAATCTATCCCTATGGTGACCCTACCATAGTCACTGTTACCATTGCCACCCTAACAGTGACCCTCCCATTAAATCTATCCCCATGGTGACCCTACCATAGTCACTGTTACCATTGCCTATCCACCAGTGACCCTTCCATTAAATCTATCCCCATGGCGACCCTACCATAGTCATTGTTACCATTGCCACCCCACCAGTGACCTCTTCCTTAATGACCTTCCTGTTGCTGTACCAATTCCCAAATTCAAGATTTCCAATGCACAAGTAACTCTGACACGATATTGGACTAGTGATTGCTCTAATGTAACCATCATGGCCATATATATATATACATACCAGTCCTACCCCCTGCCATATATACACACACCAGTCCTACCCCCTGCCATTTATACATACCAGTCCTACCCCCTGCCATATATATACATACCAGTCCTACCCCCTGCCATATATACATACCAGTCCTACCCCCTGCCATATATACACACCAGCCCTACCTCCTGCCATATATACATACCAGTCCTACCCCCTGCCATATATACATACCAGTCCTCCCCCCTGCCATATATACACACACCAGTCCTACCCCCTGCCATTTATACATCCCAGTCCTACCCCCTGCCATATATACACACACCAGTCCTACCCCCTGCTTATATATACACACCAGTCCTACCCCCTGCCATATAAATACACACCAGTCCTGCTCCCTGCCATATATACTTACCAACCCCTCTCCCTTACGACCTGGCCACTCTCGTAGTACATGGTACCGTACTCCACACCTACACTTGTACACATCTCCTCGTTATTGTGGCAGTCCATCTTCCCCACGTTTACCAGCTCCTCCTGATGATTCACAAATTGTCATGTTTAGTCTTTGTATTAAAGTTAGGTAAGCAATATTTGATGTGGATGAGTATGTGAACTTATAATTATGTATGTAGATCCCCTGTGGTGGGGGACACATACTGTATATTAAAGCTAGGTAAGCAATATTTGATGTGGATGAGTATGTGAACTTATAATCATGTATGTAGATCCCCTGTGGTGGGGAACACATACTGTATATTAAAGTTAGGTAAGCAATATTTGATGTGAATCATTGTGTGAACTTATAATTATGTATGTAGAGCCCCTTGGATGGGGGAGACATACTGTAAACATAGGAAAATTTGCCTTTCCCCAGTAAAACTCTTTAAACTTCACTCTTCAATTTGAAATTACAATGGAACTTCATTATCAAAGGTTTCCTTAATCCAGAAAACTTACTATTGTGGACACTTGTTCTTTCTCAAATTTCCACTACAGCAAGTGTACTCTTTAATACTAGTAAATTGGTGTTTCAAATCTGGAAGATTTTTTTATGATTAGAATGGATGGCAAAATTACTTATATTTCTTATCTCCAGTACAATGTCGACAAGTCATTTTTCGTTTGGAAAACAACAACAGTGACATAGACTCGTCATAATTTGCCATGATTTGCCAACTAAGTTAATATTTGGTCAATTAATTTAAGGCAATGATAAATCTAAATCAATAACGCAAAGTATTGTGAGCAATCCATAGATCAAACTTCAGATAAACTTGATATCAAATACGTGCAGAGGGCTATGACTCTGTATGGTGGAGCGTGTGCAATGATGAATCTAAATCAATAACGCAAAGTATTGTGAGTAATCCATTAATAAACCTTCAGATAAAGTTGATATCAAATACGTGTAGAGGGCTATGACTCTGTATGGTGGAGCGTGAGACCGTGTGTCAGTATACGACATGCTGTACGTCAGTGATAGCGTGAGACCGCCTGTCAGTAAACGACATGCTGTACGTCAGTGATAGCGTGAGACCACGTGTCAGTATACGACATGCTGTGCGTCAGTGATAGCGTGAGACCGCGTGTCAGTATACGACACGCTGTACGTCAGTGATAGCGTGAGACCACGTGTCAGTATACGTCATGCTGTACGTCAGTGATAGCGTGAGACCGCGTGTCAGTATACGACAGGCTGTACGTCAGTGATAGCGTGAGACCACGTGTCAGTATACGACATGCTGTAGGTCAGTGATAGCGTGAGACCGCGTGTCAGTATACGACATGCTATACGTCAGTGATAGCTTAGACCGGGTGTCAGTATACGACATGCTGTACGTCAGTGATAGCGTGAGACCGCGTGTCAGTATACGACATGCTGTAGGTCAGTGATTGCGTGAGACCGCGTGTCAGTATACGACTTGCTATACGTCAGTGATAGCTTAGACCGGGTGTCAGTATACGACATGCTGTACGTCAGCGATAGCGTGAGACCGCGTGTCAGTATAGGACATGCTGTACGTCAGTGATAGCGTGAGACCACATGTCAGTATATGACATGCTGTATGTCAGTGATAGCGTGAGACCACGTGTCAGTATACGACATGCTGTACATCAGTGATAGCGTGAGACCGCGTGTCAGTATACGACAGGCTGTACGTCAGTGATAGCGTGAGACCACGTGTCAGTATACGACATGCTGTACATCAGTGATAGCGTGAGACCGCGTGTCAGTATACGACATGCTGTACGTCAGTGATAGCTTAGACCGCGTGTCAGTATACGTCATGCTGTACGTCAGTGATAGCGTGAGACCGCGTGTCAGTATACGACATGCTATACGTCAGTGATAGCGTGAGACTGCGTGTCAGTATACGACATGCTGTACGTCAGTGATAGCGTGAGACCACGTGTCAGTATCAACATGCTGTACGTCAGTGATAGCGTGAGACCACGTGTCAGTATACGACATGCTGTACGTCAGTGATAGCGTGAGACTGGGTGTCAGTATACGACATGCTGTACGTCAGTGATAGCGTGAGACCGCGTGTCAGTATACGACATGCTGTACGTCAGTGATCATATACTGTATATATACTGGGACATTTTTCGCCCAGTCAAACTTTTGCCCTTTGCCAGTAAAATCCGTAATCACCCAGGTTTAATTCCGCTCTATACATTGAACTTCTATGTATGTTATACTATTAACTAATGTTTGCTGTAATGATAAATTTGCCTCATTTGCGGATTGCAAAAAAGACTTAAAAATTAAATTGTAGCGAAAACTTCCCGGTATACATTATTCACATACAAAACTAGACAAATGTAAGTGACAAATTTACGAGATATGCAGGACAGACAGAGGTGGATGGAGTACCCCGCGGTCTCCTCCGATAATACTGGTGGGGACTGACAAATGTTTCAGTCTCCTCCAATAGTACTGGTGGGGACTGATGAAAGTTTGACAGTCTCCTCGGACAGACAGAGGTGGATGGAGTACCCCGCGGTCTCCTCCGATAATACTGGTGGGGACTGACAAATGTTTCGGTCTCCTCCAATAGTACTGGTGGGGACTGACGACAGTTTGACAGTCTCCTCCAATAGAACTGGTGGGGACTGATGAAAGTTTGACAGTCTCCTCGGACAGACAGAGGTGGATGGAGTACCCCGCGGTCTCCTCCGATAATACTGGTGGGGACTGACAAATGTTTTAGTCTCCTCCAATAGTACTGGTGGGGACTGCCGAAAGTTTGACAGTCTCCTCCAATAGTACTGGTGGGGACTGATGAACATTTGACAGTCTCCTCCAATAGTACTGATGGGGACTGATTCAAGTTTGACAGTCTCCTCCAATAGTACTGGTGGGGACTAACGAAAGTTTGACAGTCTCCTCCAATAGTACTGGTGGGGACTGACGAAAGTTTGACAGTCTCCTCCAATAGTACTGGTGGGGACTGACGAAAGTTTGACAGTCTCCTCCAATAGTACTGGTGGGGACTGACGAAAGTTTGACAGTCTCCTCCAATAGTACTGGTGGGGACTGACGAAAGTTTGACAGTCTCCTCCAATAGTACTGGTGGGGACTGACGAAAGTTTGACAGTCTCCTCCAATAGTACTGGTGGGGACTGACGAAAGTTTGACAGTCTCCTCCAATAGTACTGGTGGGGACTGACGAAAGTTTGACAGTCTCCTCCAATAGTACTGGTGGGGACTGACGAAAGTTTGACAGTCTCCTCCAATAGTACTGGTGGGGACTGACGAAAGTTTGACAGTCTCCTCCAATAGTACTGGTGGGGACTGACGAAAGTTTGACAGTCTCCTCCAATAGTACTGGTGGGGACTGACGAAAGTTTGACAGTCTCCTCCAATAGTACTGGTGGGGACTGACGAAAGTTTGACAGTCTCCTCCAATAGTACTGGTGGGGACTGACGAAAGTTTGACAGTCTCCTCCAATAGTACTGGTGGGGACTGACGAAAGTTTGACAGTCTCCTCCAATAGTACTGGTGGGGACTGACGAAAGTTTGACAGTCTCCTCCAATAGTACTGGTGGGGACTGACGAAAGTTTGACAGTCTCCTCCAATAGTACTGGTGGGGACTGACGAAAGTTTGACAGTCTCCTCCAATAGTACTGGTGGGGACTGACGAAAGTTTGACAGTCTCCTCCAATAGTACTGGTGGGGACTGACGAAAGTTTGACAGTCTCCTCCAATAGTACTGGTGGGGACTGACGAAAGTTTGACAGTCTCCTCCAATAGTACTGGTGGGGACTGACGAAAGTTTGACAGTCTCCTCCAATAGTACTGGTGGGGACTGACGAAAGTTTGACAGTCTCCTCCAATAGTACTGGTGGGGACTGACGAAAGTTTGACAGTCTCCTCCAATAGTACTGGTGGGGACTGACGAAAGTTTGACAGTCTCCTCCAATAGTACTGGTGGGGACTGACGAAAGTTTGACAGTCTCCTCCAATAGTACTGGTGGGGACTGACGAAAGTTTGACAGTCTCCTCCAATAGTACTGGTGGGGACTGACGAAAGTTTGACAGTCTCCTCCAATAGTACTGGTGGGGACTGACGAAAGTTTGACAGTCTCCTCCAATAGTACTGGTGGGGACTGACGAAAGTTTGACAGTCTCCTCCAATAGTACTGGTGGGGACTGACGAAAGTTTGACAGTCTCCTCCAATAGTACTGGTGGGGACTGACGAAAGTTTGACAGTCTCCTCCAATAGTACTGGTGGGGACTGACGAAAGTTTGACAGTCTCCTCCAATAGTACTGGTGGGGACTGACGAAAGTTTGACAGTCTCCTCCAATAGTACTGGTGGGGACTGACGAAAGTTTGACAGTCTCCTCCAATAGTACTGGTGGGGACTGACGAAAGTTTGACAGTCTCCTCCAATAGTACTGGTGGGGACTGACGAAAGTTTGACAGTCTCCTCCAATAGTACTGGTGGGGACTGACGAAAGTTTGACAGTCTCCTCCAATAGTACTGGTGGGGACTGACGAAAGTTTGACAGTCTCCTCCAATAGTACTGGTGGGGACTGACGAAAGTTTGACAGTCTCCTCCAATAGTACTGGTGGGGACTGACGAAAGTTTGACAGTCTCCTCCAATAGTACTGGTGGGGACTGACGAAAGTTTGACAGTCTCCTCCAATAGTACTGGTGGGGACTGACGAAAGTTTGACAGTCTCCTCCAATAGTACTGGTGGGGACTGACGAAAGTTTGACAGTCTCCTCCAATAGTACTGGTGGGGACTGACGAAAGTTTGACAGTCTCCTCCAATAGTACTGGTGGGGACTGACGAAAGTTTGACAGTCTCCTCCAATAGTACTGGTGGGGACTGACGAAAGTTTGACAGTCTCCTCCAATAGTACTGGTGGGGACTGACGAAAGTTTGACAGTCTCCTCCAATAGTACTGGTGGGGACTGACGAAAGTTTGACAGTCTCCTCCAATAGTACTGGTGGGGACTGACGAAAGTTTGACAGTCTCCTCCAATAGTACTGGTGGGGACTGACGAAAGTTTGACAGTCTCCTCCAATAGTACTGGTGGGGACTGACGAAAGTTTGACAGTCTCCTCCAATAGTACTGGTGGGGACTGACGAAAGTTTGACAGTCTCCTCCAATAGTACTGGTGGGGACTGACGAAAGTTTGACAGTCTCCTCCAATAGTACTGGTGGGGACTGACGAAAGTTTGACAGTCTCCTCCAATAGTACTGGTGGGGACTGACGAAAGTTTGACAGTCTCCTCCAATAGTACTGGTGGGGACTGACGAAAGTTTGACAGTCTCCTCCAATAGTACTGGTGGGGACTGACGAAAGTTTGACAGTCTCCTCCAATAGTACTGGTGGGGACTGACGAAAGTTTGACAGTCTCCTCCAATAGTACTGGTGGGGACTGACGAAAGTTTGACAGTCTCCTCCAATAGTACTGGTGGGGACTGACGAAAGTTTGACAGTCTCCTCCAATAGTACTGGTGGGGACTGACGAAAGTTTGACAGTCTCCTCCAATAGTACTGGTGGGGACTGACGAAAGTTTGACAGTCTCCTCCAATAGTACTGGTGGGGACTGACGAAAGTTTGACAGTCTCCTCCAATAGTACTGGTGGGGACTGACGAAAGTTTGACAGTCTCCTCCAATAGTACTGGTGGGGACTGACGAAAGTTTGACAGTCTCCTCCAATAGTACTGGTGGGGACTGACGAAAGTTTGACAGTCTCCTCCAATAGTACTGGTGGGGACTGACGAAAGTTTGACAGTCTCCTCCAATAGTACTGGTGGGGACTGACGAAAGTTTGACAGTCTCCTCCAATAGTACTGGTGGGGACTGACGAAAGTTTGACAGTCTCCTCCAATAGTACTGGTGGGGACTGACGAAAGTTTGACAGTCTCCTCCAATAGTACTGGTGGGGACTGACGAAAGTTTGACAGTCTCCTCCAATAGTACTGGTGGGGACTGACGAAAGTTTGACAGTCTCCTCCAATAGTACTGGTGGGGACTGACGAAAGTTTGACAGTCTCCTCCAATAGTACTGGTGGGGACTGACGAAAGTTTGACAGTCTCCTCCAATAGTACTGGTGGGGACTGACGAAAGTTTGACAGTCTCCTCCAATAGTACTGGTGGGGACTGACGAAAGTTTGACAGTCTCCTCCAATAGTACTGGTGGGGACTGACGAAAGTTTGACAGTCTCCTCCAATAGTACTGGTGGGGACTGACGAAAGTTTGACAGTCTCCTCCAATAGTACTGGTGGGGACTGACGAAAGTTTGACAGTCTCCTCCAATAGTACTGGTGGGGACTGACGAAAGTTTGACAGTCTCCTCCAATAGTACTGGTGGGGACTGACGAAAGTTTGACAGTCTCCTCCAATAGTACTGGTGGGGACTGACGAAAGTTTGACAGTCTCCTCCAATAGTACTGGTGGGGACTGACGAAAGTTTGACAGTCTCCTCCAATAGTACTGGTGGGGACTGACGAAAGTTTGACAGTCTCCTCCAATAGTACTGGTGGGGACTGACGAAAGTTTGACAGTCTCCTCCAATAGTACTGGTGGGGACTGACGAAAGTTTGACAGTCTCCTCCAATAGTACTGGTGGGGACTGACGAAAGTTTGACAGTCTCCTCCAATAGTACTGGTGGGGACTGACGAAAGTTTGACAGTCTCCTCCAATAGTACTGGTGGGGACTGACGAAAGTTTGACAGTCTCCTCCAATAGTACTGGTGGGGACTGACGAAAGTTTGACAGTCTCCTCCAATAGTACTGGTGGGGACTGACGAAAGTTTGACAGTCTCCTCCAATAGTACTGGTGGGGACTGACGAAAGTTTGACAGTCTCCTCCAATAGTACTGGTGGGGACTGACGAAAGTTTGACAGTCTCCTCCAATAGTACTGGTGGGGACTGACGAAAGTTTGACAGTCTCCTCCAATAGTACTGGTGGGGACTGACGAAAGTTTGACAGTCTCCTCCAATAGTACTGGTGGGGACTGACGAAAGTTTGACAGTCTCCTCCAATAGTACTGGTGGGGACTGACGAAAGTTTGACAGTCTCCTCCAATAGTACTGGTGGGGACTGACGAAAGTTTGACAGTCTCCTCCAATAGTACTGGTGGGGACTGACGAAAGTTTGACAGTCTCCTCCAATAGTACTGGTAGGGACTGACGAAAGTTTGACAGTCTCCTCCAATAGTACTGGAAGGGACTGACGAAAGTTTGACAGTCTCCTCCAATAGTACTGGTGGGGACTGACGATAGTTTGACAGTCTCCTCCAATAGTACTGGTGGGGACTGATGAAAGTTTGACAGTCTCCTCCAATAGTCCTGGTGGGGACTGACAAAAGCTTGACAGTCTCCTCCAATAGCACTGGTAGGGACTGACGAAAGTTTGACAGTCTCCTCCAATAGTACTGGAAGGGACTGACGAAAGTTTGACAGTCTCCTCCAATAGTACTGGTAGGGACTGACGATAGTTTGACAGTCTCCTCCATTAGTACTGGTAGGGACTAACGAAAGTTTGACAGTCTCCTCCAATAGCACTGGTGGGGACTGACGAACGTTTGACAGTCTCCTCCAATAGCACTGGTGGGCAGCAGAAAAGATGCATAAGATCCAATACAACACAGATAAGATAAATTGAAATAAATCTTATACCCAGTAAGTATGTCACCTTGGTAATAAACAATCTGCCTCCTACAGACTCGGCTAGGGAGAATATCTCTAGCTCATTCAGTAGAGTGTAAGACTAGTAAGCCAGAAGTCCTTGGTTCGACTTCTGGCAGAGGCAATGAAAAAATAATGACCTCTGTCACAGTAAGATTAATTCTATTTAGAGTCGTTGGGTAATATAATGATAAACATAAGCTATGGAAGGCTTTGAACCACATGATACCATTTATGGTATTTTATCAGACTTTAAGCACGTGCTCAGCTGGGGAACACCACTCAGTTACAGGCAAACTTCAATAAATAAAACTTTCTCAAATTTCTTGATGTGTCAAATTTATGGCAAAGTCCTTTAACATTTATGAGTTGAGTTTCACACCGTTTCCAACTACAATCCAGATCAGATCTTTAGGAAAACATTTCCAACTAATAAATTGAAGTAGATTAATTGCATGTGAGAGAAAACATTTAAAATGTAATTGGGTCATTTTAACACCTAAACATACAAACCACAATATGTAAATACAATTTTTTTTCTAATTTCATTAAATCCAATATTTACATATTTCAAATTAAATTTCCTGCCTTGTGTTCCGTCCCTTAACAATCACATTCAGTGTTGTGCACTATATACAGGATCTCAAAGATGTTTGAATTAAGTTCAACATTTGAGAGTCAAAGTTTTGATGTGTAGAATTTTCCCGTGATTGTCTCACAACGTTTGAAACATCAAAGTTTAACTGTACAGTGTATCTCCTAACTGATGTCAACACTATAGTACTGCCAACGCCGTAACGTATCAACAAACCCAGGTCTGGTCCAAAGGGCCCCATCTGGCCTCAATAAAATAGTGTGTTTTAATAATTCTTGTGGTTCACATGTACACTAAAAAGAACTTCAGGTATGAAAGAGCTTTGGGATATATGACAAGAAAGTTGTGTTTGAAAGTGTGACACTTACCAACATGGCTGCCAGCTTGATGCATGCGCTCTTTGTCAAACAGTCTGTAAATAAATCAACAACGTTTGTGTGTGAACAACTTTTCTCTCCCTATTTTAGCTTCTGCCAACCAAAAAAGAATTCCCACTTTTTTGGTAACCCTAGCTACCTACCCTAATTTTTAGTGTCGACCCTTAATGTTTTAGGCTATTAACATAGAATCACTGTTAACATAAAGATTACTCTCCTATATAAACCACATAAAATTATTTTTTTAAATGAAATTTATTACCTACCCTACATTTTTCAAACAAGTTACAGGAAACACACATATTTGTTTGTTTGGCCTTATAGTCAGGGTAACAATATCTTATTATAGCTTACAGATTGTAGGGAAACTAATGTCAAATATTCTCCCTTAGTAAAATCTAGTTTCACCCAAGAGCCGACTTCACCCTTTCAACGTGGAAATACTGTGTTTAACAGATGTGTACGGGTATTACCTAAAATATTGAATTTGCCCTCATTATGGCGAGTAAAAAGGATAAAATTGACACTGTAGCAAATTATTCACACTTTACATACCAAATAGAAATCTTACAAGGCATGAAATTAAACCTCATACCTTTCCCATCACAACTGAAAGTGAGTATCTACATGCCCTTACCTCCCCCCTCACCACGGATTAAATGTAATACCCCAAACATCCTCACCTCCCCATCAATCCAAAATGTAATGCTCCATATATCCTTACCTCCCCCATTTACACAGATTGAATGCAATACCCCATACATTCTCACCTCCCCATGAATTCAAAATGTAATGCCCCATATAACCTTACCTCCCCCCTCACCACTGATTGAATGTAATACCCCATACATCCTCATCTTCCCATCAATTCAAAATGCAATGCTCCATATATCCTTACCTCCCCCATCAACACAGACTGAATGTAATACCCCATACATCCTCCCCTCCCCATAAATTCAAAATGTAATGCTCCATTTAACCTCACCTCCCCATAAATTCAAAATGTAATGCTCTATATATCCTTACCTCCCCCATCGCCACAGAATGTGATGAGCCAGGGTCGGTCATTGTCAGGGTTATTGACCAAACTGTCAAAGTTTCCTGACCACAGATCGACCACCGTGGCCTTGACCTGTTTCAGAGCGTACTTCACCATGGCTCTAGTCATCCTCTCACCGTGATACTTCTCTTTCTGTAAAGGTATTTTACAAGGCAAATTGAAATACATCTAAACCTCATGTTCAATGTTTTGACTGGATTATATATCTACTGGGATTAAAACTGGCTCGATTTTTACAGAATTACTGTTATAACGGGAAACCTTCGCCCAGTCAAACTATTGCCCTAAGCTGGTAAAATATGTATTCGGCGGTTCACCAAGTGGTAATTTCGCCCTTCTCGTTTCATCCCTATGTTTGATATTTTGTTTACTAGTGTTCGCTCCTATGATAAATTCACCCTCATTACGGATGGCAAAGGAAAACATTTGTTTGTATAACTTACATATCTAGAATTAAGAATTTAGAATTAAAACAATATGTTCATATTTGATGACTTTTTATGCTAATCTTTTCTCTATTAAATATTTTTGTTTTATTTCTTTATATAGGGGAGACAACTTTGACATTACCGCTGGGTACATGATGAGAGATGGGTAGGATCGGATTCCCTGCATCCTACACAGCTGCCAATCATCTTGACAATTCACGGCTCCGATTCTGATAACCCCCTCCAACTCTCGGGCAACTTCTCGCCACTGTAAACAAAAACATAAACACTGAATCACTCCTTCCAACTCAAAGGTGATTCATTGACCTTAGCCTCTAGCCATTGCATAAACAAACTAAAACCATATAAACTTAATGACATCTATCAGTGTCCAGATGCTTCAGTTGTTTTTTCGCATAAAACATGTTACAATCTATTTATGAAACAATGCCCTGATTGATAGAGAAATGTTGACCTTGATTCAGAAAAAATGACCTTGTCTAAGAAACAACTACTTTGTCTACGAAATAATGATTTAAAATGAGAAACAATTACTCTACACCTGTAAGTAGCAAACAATGACCTTGATGAAGAAACAATGACCTATCAGCCTCAGTTGGCCATGAGATCTTGGGCATTTGACAGTTTTTGATCTCTGATGGTAAACACAGGTCTAACTCCTGGCCTCTGGGTCAACATTTATCAAACCTCTGAACATGTTTTCAAATATTTATTTTTGATTTGTTAATTTGGGGGAAACCTTAAGATGAAAGTTATTGATCATCTCCATCAAAATTTAGTGTTGGTTTATGTATGTAAGTGAACAAATTATAGAACAAAGCTTCAAGAAGTCACCATTGTTCCTTCACTCTTAACCCCTGAAATTTCATAATGAACTATTCCAACCTTTGAATTGGAAGAGTCTAAATGTGTTTCAGGGGTGAATGAATTAAAATGAATGACCCTGATTATAAATGATGGCCTTGACTAATTTAGAAACATACATGAGGTGCCAAGTCGTGACAGTGGCTGCAGCCAGAAGAATAGAAGTTGACAAACCACACATCGTCTGTACCCTCCACAGACTGTTCTGTAAACAATAAACAAACATAGAAACACACAACCGTTTTCTGTAAGTTTGGATTTAAGGATCATTACTGACTTACTGCAAGCCATGAAATATAATACACTCATTACTTTAACCCAGTTTTGTAAACATGAAATAAAATTGTCAAAGATAACAGTTGTGAATATGACATTTATGAAAATACCCATTACATATTAATATCAATTAATTTGTTCTCTCCATGCAAATTTAATTCCCTTATTTTAACAACAAAAATTGTTATTGAAAAATAATTTGAGTTGATATTTTTTTTTTTATCAATTGAAAGGAAAAGTGATGATACTATTACATATAATATTATGTTTCAACCTCAACTCACCGAAATCTGACCTGCTCAATGTTATAATCTCCTTGTCGTCGTCATAGATACCTGTAATACAGAACAGATACACAGATGTACGGAGGGCTGGGTGGAAAATGTCATTCCATTATATTTTACAGATGAAGATCTGTTAATGTACACCTACCATGGTACCCAGTGGTAATTTGTCTGGGTTTATGTAAGGATTAAACGACACCTTTTTCAATTTCATACAGGCATGAACATTGAAAAAATGCCATTCAATCCTTATATTTACATTCTTAATTTGTAGTTATTACTGGCCTAAACAAAAATATCTCCTTATATTTTCAATATTGAAGTGCCTGTGTCATCATTGCTAACGCGATTCCTGAAACAGTTACAGCCTAATGTCACCAAAGTGTTTGCTTCTAATGGTTGTCCCAATGTTAATGGAGGCAGAAGGTGAAACTTCAAAATGATGCTGATCCAATTGCATTCATAGCCCTATGAACGCAATTTCTTGTTGTAATGCTTATGGAGGAACTTGCAGTGGAAATATAAATATATGAAACAGACAGAGAAATGGGAAAGTGACTTCAGATGTGGGATGCTTATAAGGAAACGACCTAGAATCAGTTTTCATTCACTGGATGGGTGATTCTCAATTGAATTGACACGGCAACAGTTGACAGTTTTTTATCAAAAGTTTCCTGGGATGAGTTGATGTGCTGATTTATACTTGCATCAATATTTTATTTATAGTACATTGCAAAACATTTTGACTGCCCAAATATACACACTTCTACAGCACTGGATCAAACATTAATATACACACTTCTACAGCACTGGATCAAACATTAATATACACACTTCTACAGCACTGGATCAAACATTAATATACACACTTCTACAGCACTGGATCAAACTTGCTGATATCGCAGTTGATATTGTCATGGTCATTTCTTCTAGTTATTGATATACTTCTACGGCCAGACTTACATTGTACAGTAAGTGAATTCTATTCAAAGAATCCATCAACTGTGATATGCTGAACTCTGCTGATCTTTATGAAAACTACCATTGACTGGACGTTGGATCTCCACCCACCTGTACTTCTACAATAGTTTAGATTTTGCTACAAAAGAATTACCTGGTAAATAACATATGATATTAAGCCGCTTATCAAAAGTCTCTGATTGACCAGGAAGGAATTAATTAATTCAACATTGATTTTAATTTCTTGATCCTGATTATAATGTCTGTACATTGATTGTAACTCTTCAACAGATTATAGTCACAGGACTAGGTTACGACTGATAGATCGTAACTCTTCTACAGATTATAGTCACAGGACTCAGAGTAATGACTGATAGATTGTAACTCTTCAACAGATTATAGTCACAGGACTCAGAGTAACGACTGATAGATTGTAACTCTTCAACAGATTATAGTCACAAGACTCAGAGTAATTACTGATAGATTGTGACTCTTCAGCAGATTATAGTCGCAGGACTCAGTGTAACGACTGATAGATCGTAACTCTTCAACAGATTATAGGCACAGGAGTCAGAGTAATGACTGATAGACCGTAACTCTTCAACAGATTATAGTCACAGGACTCAGAGTAACGACGGATAGATTGTAACACTTCAACAGATTATAGTCACAGGACTCAGTGTAACTACGGATAGATTGTAACTCTTCAACAGATTATAGTCACAAGACTCAGAGTAATTACTGATAGATTGTGACTCTTCAGCAGAGTATAGTCACAGGACTCAGTGTAACGACTGATAGATCGTAACTCTTCAACAGATTATAGTCACAAGACTCAGAGTAATTACTGATAGATTGTGACTCTTCAGCAGATTATAGTCGCAGGACTCAGTGTAACGACTGATAGATCGTAACTCTTCTACAGATTATAGTCACAGGACTCAGAGTAATGACTGATTGATTGTAACTCTTCAACAGATTATAGTCACAGGACTCGGTTACAACTGATAGATCGTAACTCTTCTACAGATTATAGTCACAGGACTCAGAGTAATGACTGATTGATTGTAACTCTTCAACAGATTATAGTCACAGGACTCGGTTACAACTGATAGATCGTAACTCTTCTACAGATTATAGTCACAGGACTCAGAGTAATGACTGATTGATTGTAACTCTTCAACAGATTATAGTCACAGGACTAGGTTACGACTGATAGATCGTAACTCTTCTACAGATTATAGTCACAGGACTCAGAGTAATGACTGATTGATTGTAACTCTTCAACAGATTATAGTCACAGGACTAGGTTACGACTGATAGATCGTAACTCTTCTACAGATTATAGTCACAGGACTCAGAGTAATGACTGATAGATTGTAACTCTTCAACAGATTATAGTCACAGGACTAGGTTACGACTGATAGATCGTAACTCTTCTACAGATTATAGTCACAGGACTCAGAGTAATGACTGATTGATTGTAACTCTTCAACAGATTATAGTCACAGGACTCAGAGTAACGACTGATAGATTGTAACTCTTCGACAGATTATAGTCACAGGACTCAGAGTAACGACTGATAGATTGTAACACTTCAACAGATTATAGTCACAGGACTCAGTGTAACGACGGATAGATTGTAACTCTTCAACAGATTATAGTCAGATCACAGGACTAAGTCTTATAAGTACCTCAGCTACGTCCCTGTACAGTAAATATATACAGACACAAGCAAGCCACAAGGCTTATACATATTGCTTCTTACTACACCAGCTGTCGCCTTGTACATCACAATGATACAATGTGTTGAGGACAATCATCCTATGTTCTGGATTCATCCTGAGCACACACTATACATGTATATATATATATAGCTACCGTTCACATAGTCTACCAGCTGTGATTAAGGATCCCTGTACCACTGACAGAAACTGTACATACAAACCATTTTTATTGGCAGGACAATAGCTCAATTAATCATTTCTGACAAGAAAATGATACATTGCAGGAATTTTATGAAAAAAAATAGTAGGGATAAAATGAAAACAAGAAAAATCCACAACAGAGTACTGAATATAAAAGTACAATGGAGCTAGATCAGGGGCTTGTTCATTTATGCGGAACAACCAGTTTGTCTGTTTTTAAAAGTAACATTTTCAGGTATAAATCTTGGCGGACCTGCAAATGTTTATGGAGGCCTTGCACGGCTTTGTCAAGGCTTGCCTGAAGGCAGCATCAGATTTTACTAGGTCCGACCCTATATCATTTCATAAACGAACAACTCTGGTCCAACTGGTTCAACCATTTGGACCGCGATAAATGAAAGCAGCTCAGGATTGAAACCCTCAACCTCAATAAGATCATAAAACTGTCGCTCTAACCAACTCTGTAACATAGTCAACGGAAGTATCCTAGACCACTTGCCCTAGCACTAATTAACGTTATATCGGAAAAACAAAATCAATGGGAGGCTATTGTAATATAGTGGAATTCTCTAGTATTTTGACAGCGGAGGGACAGGGTTCCTTAAAGTGTCCGATAGAAATGGGGGCAGTACAGGTGACATGAACATCTGCCCTTAAAGATCATTTCTACACCTTTTTTGACAACTCTTTTTCAGACAAATCCTGGATATCTTTTCAGACAAATCCTGGGTATCTTTTCAAATGTTTATGAGTCCTAAAAAAATCACTGTTTCTTGTAATACATTAATGGTTAATCATACCTAATTAATTCTGCCCATTGCCTTTAAGATATCNAATCCACTCAGTGGTTCATGACTAGTAGTGTAAAGTTGACGGACGCCGGACGCCGGACGCTGNAAAACTCAGTAGCCATATTTCTTCATGATAAGTAACCATTTGGTCAATTTGTAACGGCATCATTGGACTTAAAGTGACTTTTGAAAAAACGGATGCCAAAAAGGGGAAAAGAAGAATTTAGGAGTTTCATTATAGTATATGGGCCACAACATTTGTACTTAATGAAAGTTATTATGTTTAACAAAAATGAAATAAACTAGAAAATGTCTGTAAGACATGAATATAGCAACCGTGACCTTGGCTTTGACCTTGAAACCCTGAAACACAAGGATGTTCGACGTATACTCATACTTGACCTTCGTATAAGGTTTGACAAAAATCTGTGAAAGAATGAAGTTGCCAAGTGTTTACATTGAATCGGGATGGGATGCGAAGGAATGAGAGGGGACACGTTACAGTTGCCAGTGTGATTGATGACTAATTATGAGACTATTGGTTATCATTGTGAATTTTTAGTTGCCATGGCAACAAAACAATAGGTGCCTCTTAGAGCTCTGCATTGGTAGAAAAAAATCACTTTTGATGCCACTTATTTACAAACATCAACGATGGATATTAAAAACAGTCTCTGAACCTCTTAATGCCTTCAAAAGATCCCAGAGGGATCTTGGCGCCCACCTTTGTACCATCTTCATTAGTTCTTTGTCAGTTCGATCTTTTCTCTTCTTTCCTCTTATCTGTTTGATCGAGTCATGTTAACAGTAAATGCACCTTGAGGTAACTTTTGATCTAAACTTAATACTGATGTGTATGAAAGCCAACCTTCAAAGTGAGTTTGTCATTTCACATATTTACTAGTACAGTACTTAATGTGAAAGAAATAGAATCGATCATTGCAATATGAGAAAGATCTGTTTAGTTCTTCTTTTAATCCATTTTGTTTTTATGATCAGTCTCAAAATATAACATACACAACGAGGGATCAAGGGGAACCTACATTTAAAATTTGAGAAAGATCCCTCCCGTACTTCCTGAGAAATAGCGATAACAAACTTTCACTATCAAAATCCAAGATGGCTGCCTGTCGGCCATGTTGTTTATCCGATCAGTCTCTAAAATTGCCCTGCACAGCTAGGACCAAGGGGAACCTACATATAAAATTTAAGAAAGATCCCTCTAGTTCTTCCGGAGAAATAGCGGTAACAAACCTACACTATCAAAATCCAAGATGGCTGCCTGTCGGCCATGTTGTTTATCCGATCAGTCTCAAAAGTTGCCCTGCACAGCTAAGGACCAAGGGGAACCTACATATAAAATTTGAGAAAGATCCCTCTGGTACTTCTTGAGAAATAGCGATAACAAACTTTCACTATCAAAATCCAAGATGGCTGCCTGTCGGCCATGTTGTTTATCCGATCAGTCTCAAAAGTTGCCCTGCACAGCTAAGGACCAAGGGGAACCTGCATATAAAATTTGAGAAAGATCCCTCTGGCACTTCTTGAGAAATACCGATAACAATAATTGTTTACGGACGGACGACGGACGACGGACGACGGACGGACCACGGACGCAGGGTGATTTGAATAGCCCACCATCAGATGATGGTGGGCTAAAAATGTCCAATCATTAACCAAATCATGTGCCAATGGCATCTCCAGAGCCAATGGTTCCTTGGTCATAGTGACTAGATATCCCTGAAATTTGATTCTATTTACCGAATTCCTCCTGGTAGAACTTCCAGCTTTCGTAACGCCTGCCGCCATGGAAATCTTCCTTCAGACCTTCCTCCCCATGAGTGTCATACTTCTTCCTCAAATCATCATCTTTCAGGACTTCATATGCCCGTGTTATTTTCAAAAATTGATCATGAGCATCAGGGTCATCCTGTAATTCAAATTGATATCATTTAGTTCGTACATAGGCAATACCACATATGAATTCATCAGACGTCTCAGATAGCATAATTGCAAGTGCATATATATCTTTCACCAAGCTAAGGGCTTCAGCAATAAATGAGTGCAAAATGAGATGTTTGGTGAAATATGAAAGAAATATGAAATAATGATGTTGGCTTGCTACAATGTATGTCTAAAAGCAAGCACATGGTTCTGTCTAAAATCGAAAACATTGTGTTCACCCACAGCAAGCAGAGTAGGTCGGAAAATAGTGGTCTTTATTGAAACCTCTATTTACAATGAAATTTAACAAGAATGGAACAAGAATGGCTGTTCCAACGTTTGGAGATTATTATTGACGTCAAAAAGTATCCTTAATTTCAGATCATATTAATATTTCACTATTAGTTCTTCATAAAACTCTTTAACAAGAAAAATATAGACTGTTGTTTGCCTTTTCTCACACACATGATTGCTAAGGATAAGCTGAGGCTTTTAGACATGCCAATCGAAAAAGTGGTGAAATGTGACATTTGACCCTTTCATTTTGACCAATGACAACTTAACCTAATCAGGCAGAGAATATTATGTTACCATGATATGGTTTTAAGATATATAATGGTACTAAGCATGATGTGGAGTTTACAAAACATTATACACAAGCTGTTTATTTCAAAAATGGTCGAACATCCTCTGACCCTTTAACCTTGAATGAGGATGACAAAAACATCTACAAAGTGAAGATCTTGAAGTTACCATACTGAAGTATTTATAGACAAAAATCTGATGAGGAGGCATAAGATATCTTGTACATTGATGAGGGGAGCTTAAGATATCTAGTACACTGATAAGGGGAGTGTGATAAACTTGCTCAATGATGGGGAGAGCTTAAGATGGCTTTTACACTGTAATAAACTTGTTCACTGATGAGGAGAGCTTAAGATGGCTTGTACACTGATGATCATGAGGGGAGCTTAAGACATCTTGTACACTGATGAGGAAAGCTTAAGACATCTTGTACACTGAGGAGGGGAGCTTAAGATATCTTGTATACTGATGAGGGGATCTNAGGGGAGCTTAAGATATCTTGTACACTGATGAGGAAAGCTTAAGATATCTTGTACACTGATGTGGGGAACTTAAAATATCTAGTACACTGAGGAGGGGAGCTTAAGATATCTTGTAAACTGAGGAGGGAAATTGAAGATATCTTGTACACTGAGGAAGGTAGCTTCAGATATCTTGTACACTGAGGAGGGAAACTTAAGATATCTTGTACACTGATGAGAGGAGTGTAATAAACTTGCTCACTGATGAGGAGAGCTTAAGATGGCTTGTACACTGAGGAGGGGAGCTTAAGATATCTTGTACACTGATGAGGGGAGTGTAATAAACTTGTTCACTGATGAGGAGAGCTTAAGATGGCTTGTACACTGATGATCATGAGGGGAGTTTAAGCCATCTTGTACACTGATGAGGAAAGCTTAAGACATCTTGTACACTGAGGAGGGGAGCTTAAGATATCTTGTATACTGATGAGGGGAGTGTAATAAACTTGTTCACTGATGAGGAGAGCTTAAGATTGCTTGTACACTGATGATCATGAGGGGAACTTGAGACATCTTGTACACTGATGTAGGGATCTTAAGATATCTTGTATACTGATGAGGGGATCTTAAGATACCTTGTACACTGATTAGGGGAGTGTAATAAACTTGTTCACTGATGAGGAGAGCTTAAGACATCTTGTACACTGATGAAGGGATCTTAAGATATCTTGTATACTGATTAGGGGATCTTAAGACATCTTGTACACTGATGAGGAAAGCTTAAGACATCTTGTACACTGATGAAGGGATCTTAAGATATCTTGTACACTGATTAGGGGAGCTTAAGATATCTTGTACACTGATGAGGGGGGCTTAAGATATCTTGTATACTGATAACGGGATCTTAAGACATCTTGTACACTGATGAGGAAAGCTTAAGACATCTTGGACACTGATGAGGGGAGCTTAAGATATCTTTTACATTGATGAGGGGATCTTAAGATATCTTTTACACTGATGAGGGGAGCTTACGATATCTTGTATACTGATGAGGGGAGCTTAAGATATATTGTACACTGATGAGGGGAGCTTTAAGATATCTTGTCCACTGATGAGGGGAGCTTAAGGCATATTGTACACTGATGAAGGGATCTTAAGATATCTTGTATACTGATAAGGGGATCTTAAGACGTCTTGGACACTGAGGAGGAAAGCTTAAGACATCTTGGACACTGATGAGGGGAGCTTAAGATATATTGTACACTGATGAGGGGAGCTTACGATATCTTGTATACTGATGAGGGGAGCTTAAGATATCTTGTCCACAAGCTTTTTCATTCAAAATTATCAAAGTGTGACCTCTGACATTTTAATCTTGACTGATGCTCACCAAAATCTTATCCTGTGTTAATGTCAACGTGGTGTAAATATGAACTGAATCAGGACAGGGTTTACAGGTTATCTCATACACAAGCTTTATACTACAGATGCATGGACGTATGCACAGAAAGATATAATCACTGACATTAAAACCTACAGCATCAAGTACAAATGGGCTGAAATTGTCTCATTTAACATAATCAAATGACAGAACAGTAAAAAGAAAAAAGAAACATCCTAAAATGTATTCAGCCTTTAGCAAATAAGGAATATTTACTTCAAAAATCAAAAATTCACTTACCAGATTTTTATCTGGATGTTTTGTGACTGCTAATTTTTTGAAAGCTTTCCTGATTTCCTTTGTCGTGGCACTTCTGGGTATGTCTAGAAGTTTGTAGAAGTCTTCTGCACTCACTAACACGATCACACTCCATACAAAACACAGCACAAGTAGGGACCGGAGAAGTCGTGCGTTCCTTAAAATAGGGTTATTTATGGAAATAAATTCCATTTTAATTTCAGTAATTATATAAAGTCTTCAAATCCTGCTTGTTTTATGTGGCCTTGTTTCAGATATGTAAGTCTTGAGACCTAAAACGATGAAGAAATAGATTATTTTTTCATAAGACTCTATTACATACATACCGTACCATAGTCAATGTAATTAGTGCCTCTCCCATTAAACACATCCCTCACACCTTCGAATCTGATTTCCTGAAGAACAACATTCACCCTTGCTCACTGCATGCAGTAAACTGTTTAATGATATAACACTCAGTGAAATATATTAAGAGATAAATAACTAACTCATTCACCCCTGAAATTGCATAATGAACTATTCCAACCTTTGAATTGGAAGCGTTCAAATGTGTTTTCAGGGGTGAATAAGTTAAGGGTATATCCTATATTCCACATCTGATTAGTAGATTTGTATCAGAGTTTTGTCCCTTAAAAACATTCAATCAGTTGTATCAAATATATAGATCTGCAAGCATTTCAGTGTATTACTCAAGAGTAGCTTCAAATTCACCAACATTAATAAGTCTAAAATGTCAGTAAAAGATAAGTATGGGGTTCAGGTAATTTTTTAAACAGATACTGTTTTTTGGTACATATTGAAAGATACATATTGTTAAATGCAAATTTGTTTGAACCATCAGGTAACATTTCATTTACTTTGGAAAAATTGAAAATTAGTTGTTTTATTTAGCAAAATGTTATTTCAACCACAGGCATTTTTGTACTGATAAAAACCATATCTTAAAGTCAACATGATTATGTGTTATTACCTGTAAACAACTTTTTACACCTTAACATGTAGATTCTTATTTCCTGATTCACATATCAAACTGCATGTACATTTGTTTTTTAGCCAATGTTTCATATAATTGTACATGTAACATGCTTGCCAACTTTATGAGGTTTCCATGGGGAAGATTACACATGCTCATATTTAAAAGCATGAATGAAATGTGTGTATGTACACCCTAGGGAAAATAACACTTTTAAATGATATTTTTTCAAAAAGCGGCGCAAAGCGCTGCAGGGTTAGATCTGTAAACACTTTGTCCACTTCTGGTGCATCCCCATGCGTGAAGCCTTCTGGGAAATTGCCGCTGCATACGATCTACTAAAATATGATAGTAAACCCCTACGATATCCATATTTATTACATTTTACCAATGAAATATCATGAATTCTCCGTTTGATAAAATCTTTTATCTTCACTGCAGTAAAGCTATACGAAATGTTAAATCTTCACAAGTGAAGATATCATATTTAGTATTGTCCAATCAGAATGTTACTTTCTCTTCACTGCAAAGATTTATCGTTTCAAGTTCAGATGAAGCGACGGCAAAATAAGTGTCTGCTTTGTTCAACTTTTGCAACACACATATGGTATTTACAAAACTACACCATTGATATCATTTTGTTTGGAAATCTTATCAGATAAAAGCAGCAACATCCAAATCGCATTGATCACCACATTCAAAATGGCGCTCTGCATTGTTGTCAAGCGTGACGTCATTTAAACTTGGCGTAAAATAGTTCACCACATATTCCCGTACTTTTCTGATGTAGCAATATTTGCGTCGCCTTATTTTAAAAAATTGTAATAAAAAAACCTGTTAACGGTTTTCCAGTTAAGCACTATATACGTATTTCACCCGTTTATAACAAATATGTAATAACAACCAGAAAACTAGCAGTATGGCAGAGTTTGTTTTTGTAGAAAACTCTAAGAGGTAACAACTTCGTTGACAAGTATCCTCCACCAGATATTAACATTTTATGTAAAATTCAATTAAAAATTGGCTAGTACGTACTGACACTTCAACCAAGAAGACAGTTGATAGTTTATTTAAAAGTGCATTATCAAAACACAGACTTAGATCTGTGATCAAATGAAATCTTTGTAAAAGTTTTGGGCTGTTGTAAATTGTATTTTTCGTACAACTTGTACTGTATCTTCTCTCTCAGAAGATGACACTATTACCAAGTTGTTGACAGCTAACATGCAGTTAAAATTGTACATTTTCATGCCTTGGGAAAATTACTGAGTGATGATAGTACAACATGTGAGGATATTGAGCGTGAAAAGAGTATTTTGCACGTTAAAATTAATGCCATTAATATTTGAAGAATAAATTCAAGTGTGCAGGATGTGTTCCTCATGTTTGTTGGACTGTCAGTAAGTGATTTTCATCTAAAGACCTGGTGTCCAGCAGCTTTGCTGCGTTTTGTTGTTTGAGCTGTTCTTTCGGTTGAAATCATCAGATCTTAGGAAATACATGTAGGAATACTTAGAAACTTAGAGACTTAGAAAAAAGAGGGAGGAATGTAGCAGAACTGGACTGGTCAACTGCTGATGATCAGGTAGCTTGACTGGTAGAGCGTCTGTCTAGAGTTTCGAGGATGAAACCCAGTTTGAATCCTGGTCTAGTCGTACATTTCTCCTCTGTTACATTTGTAAGAGTGTCAGCCACTCTTTCATACCAAATGTGACTTCTGAAGCTAGGAATGTTATGGAGGGTCCATTTTTAGACTGTTACAGCCTGCAACTCTCTCTACACAAAGTATATGCATCAGAGTGGAAGTAATGAAAAGTAATGGGGGAGATCTCTCTCATTCTACATTTCCAACGAGGGAGAAAGTGCATGAAATGTGTCAGACTGAAACTGATGCAGATGCAACTCTCTCTACACAAAGTATATGCATCAGAGTGGAAGTAATGAAAAGTAACGGTACAGCATTGGTGTCAACCTCTGAAACCTCCAATGGGGGAGATCTCTCTCATTCTACATTTCCAATGGGGGAGATCTCTCTCATTCTACATTTCCAATGAGGGAGAAAGTGCATGAAATGTGTCAGACTGAAAATGCATTCCTCAATTTATTTCTCCTTTTTAATGTATCAAAATAACTCAAAAAAGCATTCATTTGATTCAGACACACCTGCTATGATTATTACACACACCCTGCAGTAACAAGGAGATAATTTTATCACAGGATGTACATTATGAGCTTGTGTGAGTTTGGGCTTGAATGAGGGAGTTTTGAGGGAGATTGGTGATAAATTTCGGTCAAAATGAGGGAGTCTCCCTCGTAATGAGGGAGGTTTAACTTGACAGCTATGGTACCACAGAGCTAAAGGGAAATGCACATAAGACAATGCTAGTAAAGCGATGTTGACATGACTATGTACAATTAAAATCTGCGGCAGTACATCACCAATGGAGGGGGTTGGGTGGCACACTCACTCGGCTTTCACTAAGACAGCTGAGGTGTGATCAGGTGTTAGGTCAGCTACCCAAACACTTTTTTTATTTTAGTCTCAACGGAGTACTCACGTTTCCTTCCACACTAAGACCTCTAGATCTGTGTGTTTTCATCCGGGTCAACAAGAGTGATAAATATAAGTTGGAAAAGCTTGCATCATAATTGTTGTAAAATAAATAAAGTTTATATTTACATAAATTTAATAGGAAACATGATTTTTGCCAGGTGTTCTAATCTCTCACTCTGTACAATATCAAATACTACCTAGGCCTACACACTATGTAGCAATGTGCATTTGGTAATTAATTGAATTGAAAAGTGTAGCTATATGGTTCCTGCAGCTACCTACACACCAGAAGAAGTCCAAACATATAAATCATAACTTAATTTTCAAACACAGTTATGTGAATTCAAGGGTGTTAAAACTTTTCAAAGACAATACTACAAAGTTTTTTGCAATAGTAATGATATGTCTTGATATATGTCTATTTCATGTTGGTCACTAAGCAATCCCATAAAAAGATACTCAAGTCGCCAGGTTCTTCGTATACTTCTACCTGATAATAGACCTACTTAATCATGTTGAAGATTATGTCAATGTTTGGGTTGTATTTATATACATGAAAAGAGAGTGAGAATAGAGCTTATTTTGTAGAGAGGGGAGACGACTTATAAAGGTTTCCAAAGTATCAGATGAGACCAGGTCTGGTGGGAGGTTGTTCCAGTCTGGGATAGTTCTGGGGGGAAAAAGAGTATTTGTGGCAGTCTGTTCTACAATGTGGAGTAAGTGAGATAGGAGAAAGGGTGAGAGTGTCGTGAGGTTTCAATCCAACACGACACGTAAGACTTTCGTTATTAACTATACTCAGCATGAACAACCAATGTCATGATGAGCTATCAAATGACAATTTATAATTGCTGTCGAACAATTTTATATTTAGTCAAAGAAAAATTGTATGAAAAAGTTTCACATCTCTTCAGCATTCCGTTCAATAAAATGCATATTTATCAAAGTAAATTTGATATTTGTTTGCATGGTATTAAAATGACATCGTGTACAGGTAGACATCAGACATTGTCAAAATATCCAAAGTCTACCGTATCTGAAATGTCAGTATAAAGCCGGCTTATTATTTTCTGAACTATAGATTTCATTGAGCATTATCATACGTTTGAATAAATTTTACGCATTATTTACTGGTCAACGAAGGTAAATATTCCAAATTAAACGTTAAAAAAATGATAATACACTTACCACACCCGATTATCTGTGACCTGTCAAGTTGGCAATTCCTCCATGTGCGACAGCTGGCGGATGTTGACACACGTGTTACTACGCACGCGCAGTAGTTGAATTCGTTCGGAACTTTTCGGACTATATCATAAAGATTAGAAACATCGAAAAGTATGAAGGATTAAATCCCGCGAAATTTTAACTTCAACTATTTAACGACAACCACGAATCCAAGAAACTTTTTTTATTAGATATTCATAACGCATATGTTGTTGTTGTTAGGAGACACGGTAGTCTAGAGGTAGGACGCCGGGCTCGTGACCGAAAGGTTGCGGGTTCGAGTCACGGCACGGCACTGTGTTGTACTGAGTCACGGACTTAAATAACAATCCGTGGTTGTAGTATAGTACAGAGCAAGATACCTTACTCAGCTTGTTCCAGTCTACTCAGCTGTAAATGAGGACATGGTTGGGCAGTGCTAGAATTGTAGAATGCTAGCTGTGAGCGCCGAAATGGCAGCAGCGGTTGTATGCTCCCCAGGGAGTTGAGAAAGATATTGGCTGGTTGCAAAGGCCCTATAACCACGGAAAATAATTTATGAATCGCTTTGAAACGACCTACGAACTAGGTTGTGATCAAGCGGTATATAAGAAACTCGGATTAATATTAGTAGTATTGTTCGGAAATTCCTCCGTTATGTTGTTCGAAGCACCCGTCCCCTGGGTAGATATAGTAAGTTTAGACCTATAGGTGGAAGTGTCTGTCAAAATGACCAGAGTTCTACTTCTAAAAGGGTACTGACCAACTTCAACAATTTGAAGATTAATGTCAGAGGAGGGTTTAGATGCGGAGAGGAAAGGCTTTGACAGGAGGAATTTAGTTTTTTTTATGCAAAGTGATGGTAGAGGTTTGATTTAAAAGAGTTTGTTAACCAGGCTAGATAGGGATCAGGAGGGAGTTTATTCCACTCGGATAGTAGTTCGAGGGAAGAAAGTTTCTTTTCTAGATAGTGTTTTGGAGAAAGGAATTTGGAACTTATGACACGGGGAATAAGTCTGTCAGATTTTGCAACAGCAACTTTATTATTGACAATATTGTAAAACATGGTAAGACGTGTATCTCTTCGTCTATCTGCTAGCTAAAGGGGCGCAATTTTAAGTGGTCCGACATTTCATACACACTTGGGGTACGGTGATTCAAGTTTGTCAATATTAGTTTGGGTGTGAGGATCCCGGTCAGGCGATTTACAGGAACGGGCAGATTTCGAACATTTGAAATTACTTTTCAAAACACATAAGTTAAAATGTTTGCTATTCAATTTTGTTAGACATAATAGTATCAATTCTAAAACAATGATAAGATAAGTACTGTCCAAGATGTTTCTTAATAATATCTAAAAAAAACCTTTTGTAATGTTGATCGGACTATTCTATGGTCCATTGTACGGTTATTTTGATATGAAAATTGCATGATTAAGATTACTTAATGTTTAATCTCAACAAAGCATTATTTCATTTTTTTTTTTTATTTGAAAGCCATCTGCTACGATGACACATTGTGTATTCTGTTGTTATAATATAACGAGGTATCAACAAAGTATCACCGCATTGCCCAGGTCTCGGGATCGTGATATCAAAGAGACGTTGTCCTTATTTTATGTAAATGAAAGTCTATGTATAATTTCATGCTTGTAAATATATTATGTTTGAGATATTTGAAATAATGCTGGAGAAGAAACTCCAGTTAAATTAGATACTCAAATACTATGAAATTCAAAAAGTATATTAATTGTATATGATTCGCAGTCCTTTCAATTAATTAATTAACTCAGAGATAGTCTGTTTTGGACAAGCTTAAGTCGGTTCATCTAACAGTAGAAAATTGATAAAATGTGAAAATAAATTAGAATAACATTTTTCCAGAAATAGATCTCTGATTATGAAGACGAGTAGGTTGTCATTAACCATTTTAAAAATAAAATAGACACTTAAAAGGACTTACGTTACGCTTCTTATACATCAATCCAGAGACGTATATATATCATATTACGTAATATATACGTCTTTGACCAATCCAAAAGAAAAATACTATTTGACATGAAAGGTTGTTGCCTAATTCCGTGTTCAAATTTGATTCAACTCCCAGAGATACTGTATACATATACGGTTATACATCATCTGTTTCCGATAGCCACAGTACACTTAGGTGAGGTAATTTTACAAGAGCTGTCCATCTTCCGGTAATTTATTTATCTTGTACTTTATAATAATTTAAAGAATTATACTGTCCATTTATAGGTACTATCACGGACTTAGATTACATCTAATTCCGTGGTACTATATATATATGCGATGTACAAGATTATGCTTCATTCATGATGTTATAATTATTTTGTATTTCATATCACTGATGTATCTGAGCCTTAAAGCTTCAAGTTGAATATAACCCTGAGTTTGTGACACTAATTAGGAAATAACAGATTCTGGACTCGGGCAAACAGCCCGGGTCCGTGCCCCCGGGCACTTAACAATCCAAGTTCCTGAAGGTACACTGATGAGGTGTATACTTGTATACCTAATCTAAATCACAGTTACAGGTAAATATATATATCTACATATGTTGGTTATGCAATGACGACGAAAGCGGAGATAAATTTTGACTCGAATTGGTAAATAGATGATTTTCCTCAAAATACTTATAGTCATATGAATGCTTAACCACAGACTTTATCCAATTCCATGGACAATATCTTAATTTGAACATAAATATTACAGCAACATGTACATTATGTATGTAAGTCCCGGGTCTTGTTTATTTAGGTGAACTTTTTGGTTAACAAAAAATGGTGACCACTACCTTGTTCAAATTTATTCGGAAATGAAATAGTACATCAGCTAATTGAGATTTTGATGCACGTTCATATAAGACCAGAGAATGAAAAAAAATGAAACTTTTTATTGTGAAAAACGTCTGCGTTGCTGTCCGGTAAGATACCATTGCATAATCCGTTCTTGACGTTTTTACAGTTTTGAGTTTAGCTGGTGAATTGCTTTTCTCAGTTTTATCTGGCACGATAACCATATATATGTGTAATTTAAATTACCCATTCTAAATTATTCAATAGCCACCCAAATAACCAATCAGCTTCTGTGTTCCTAGGAGAGCGGGATCACTGATAAGGTGGGGTACTTTACCTGGAACGATGATTGGCTTGTTTCTGCCGACAGAGTCACCAATGTACGTTTTTGTTAGAATAAGAAGATTAACAAGCATACTGAGTATTGCTGAAGCAATACATGTCCCCTACCGGCCCCCGCAATCTATTAAGATGCAACAGTGACCTCAACCTAGATCCGAGGACCTTGAAACTTGAACTTGTCCAATATATTGATTTTTTTTATAATAATGTGAAGTTTGACTAAAATCCATGAAAGAATGAGGCACTAGAGTGCTGACAAAGATTTTCTAAAATAGTAATAGTGACCTTGTCTTGCCCCGATTACCTTGAAATTGTCCAAGATATTTAAATTCTTTACAATAATGTGAAGTTTGATTAAAAACTAGGAAAGAATGAAGGCGCAAGAGTGCTGACAAACTTCTTCGGACAGACAGCGAGGAAAACTTTAGGTATTCTTGTTTTCTTCTCCCTCCCTGCCACCCCCACCCAGTTTCACCG